ATTTGGTATAAAACAATATAGCGTAAACTATTGGAGACTTAGGATGAACTGGCTTTTGTTGACATATAGCCCCTAATTGGTGGAGGTTAAGATCAATTTTTTCGTAAATTTTAATAAAAATTGATAAAATGTATGATTAAAAATTTTTGAAGTCCATGAAATACATGGTTAAAATTAATTGTTGACTACGATTTAAATTAAAATTTCTATAAAGATGGATATAATAATATATTTTTATTTATTACAATATTTTCGTGATACGAAACGGATCAAATGCTCATCGGGAAATGTGCGGAATATGCCAAACCCCAATCACAGAATTAAGCGCACCAACTCACCCACAGTCGTGCTATCGGTATAGAAAATGTTTGACAAAATTTGTACAGAAGAATACTTGACAATTTTCTATTGATTTTTAAAACAACAATGGCAGAAAATGCACCATACATGTGCTGGCAGCACGTGTATGATTTATGTAAATAATTCCCCATATTTTGAGAAATATTCACTCACTTTACAGTTGGTCCTCGACGTATAAAGTTTTATCATCTATAATATGATATCGGCCTAGTCTTTTTGCAAGAGTTGTTCACAATCATTTAAAACTTGTGTGCAACCAGTCCTCGTGAATGATTTTTGTTCAAAAGGGAACTATATGCATGCCATAATTTTTGTTAACTACAACGTATTATAATAATAATGAAACTTCTCAAATTTTGTTCATTCTTGCACTTATATATTCAACCTTTTTATCCTACTTTTATCTTTAACCTTCAATTAGTTAACACGTCTTGTTCTTCTTAACAAGTTTTGCCCAAATATTACGTTAATACGGGAAAATATTTTGTAGAACTTACGTATTTATCGTTTATCTTGGCTATTTAAAAATACAAAGGGCAAGGAAGTCTTTTTGCACCATTCTCATGGATCTTTCGATATTTATAACGAGATGGGCTAATTAAAATAAGATTGAAATTAAAATACGACAAGAAAAAAATTTGAGACTCAAGTGCAAATAGGAATAAAAGTTATGGACCTTCATTTTAATTATAATGTGGGTTAGTTAATAAAAACTATGGTGTGAATATAATTAATCATTCAAAAATGTGTCAAGTGACAATTTTTACAAGACATTGTATATTTTAATTTCAATAAAACGAAAGCCAAAAACTATAAGTCATGTTCTCTTTGCTGTTTTGGGATCGTTTTCTATTTTCGATTTTTCAAAATAGTGAAAATGCATTCGCTTTTCCGTTTTCAAAAATTCAGTTTTTGAAAAAAAAAAAAAAAATTATACTGAAAAAGACGTTTTGAGTGTTTCCTTCCCAAAACCCACTCACCGAATCAAAACGCGGAAAACGCCTCATTTTCCATATCCCCCAGAATTCTTCCTCTTTCTTGAGCCTCAATTTCTTCTTCATTTTCTAGGTTTCAATTTTCTATCAATTACTTCCTTAAAGAAGGAAATGGGGATGAAAATATAGAGTTTAAATTGAAGTTTTTTTTCGAGGTTGATTGTTGTTTACTGGATGCTATTTTGACTTTCATCGAGAGAAAATCAAGTATAAGAACAATGGCGGTGGGTCGGAGGGTGAAGAACAGTCAATCAACGATACAAGGATCGCGGATTGCGATGGCAATTGGGATTGGAGTTTTATCCGGATGCATTTTCGCCTTCTTCTTCCCCAATGGATTCCTCTCCTCTAATCCGCATCGCCGTCTTTCCCAATACAGTCTCGAGGTACCCATTCTCTCCATCGGTAGAATCTCCTTTATTTTTCTTCTATTTAACTATTTCTACATTATTCTTCTCATGCGTAACTACTTAACAATTAATTCTGCTTATGCATCTTCTAGAGAAGTTCTTATTTTGGGATTTTAAAATTAGTAATGTGCTGCAATTTGTGGGTTTCATTTGTTTATCTGTGATTTATGTAAATTGAGGGGGGCAGTTAACTGAATTTTTAATTTAAGCTTTTCTTTTGTTCCATGCTTATGTTTCTAAGGTTTCAGCTGTAAGAACAACTTCAAAGATTTGACTTTGATG